AGGGGTAGGGGGAGAGAACGATGGTTGCTTTGCTTCTCATGACATAGATTCCTTTTCTTTGTTGCAGAGCTGGTCATGTTTGCTGGAGAATTTTTTTGAATTTTTTTTTTGTAACTTTGAGTCAGGGGTACCACCACTCAAGGAGTTGGTAAGAGGCAGCCTCCCGAACCTGCGGTATTTTTGACAGCACAGCAATTGCTTCACGTCGGCGGTCGGCCGTCTCAGAACCCACACTTTGGCCAGGCGTGGGTATCTTCTGCAGAGGAGAGTGACCAGGGACACCTGCCGTGCTAACTTCCGTCAGCGACCCACCGCCGCCCGACAGCCATCGACGAGTACATCCACCGAGGGACGAGATACCCTGCACAAACACCGTTCCGTTTGATATGTCAATAAGACGTACGAACAGAAAAACAAGAAAAGAAAAGAAAAGAAGAGGAAACAAGTTCGTCCGAGTAACAAAAACACCGAAGCTCTCCATCTGTAATAAATCCCAAAAGCCTTTCTCCACAGAGTCGTTCGGGAAGACCCCGTTCCCGTTTTCACAATGACGTTGCAATTGTGGAAACACACCTTTGCAACACATGCTGCATTCTTCAAATTTTTTGAAAAACCGCATTTGCATCACCCCACAGCTTGGTCGCGGGGCAAACTCTCCTCCTCCCACGGTTTCACCTACCCATCCAGTCGTACACCCAGGCCTGGAGGCCTTAAACTGCGCCCCGAGCTTTTCTGAACCACCAGAGGCGCGCTTGTTTTTCATTTTTTGCTGGCGCCGCCAGCCATTGTGATCTGCTAGCCCGGAGCCTCCGTCATAGGAGCCGAAAGATTGCTCCCCAAGGCTGCGGCCGTCAGATTTCTCCACAAGGCTGGGGCCGTGTCCGTGCCGCATTGTGTGTTGTGTGTTGTGTGTGTGCGTGTGCGTGTGCGTGTTGGACACTACAGCCTTGCAGGGGAGGGTTTCGATATCATGACCGGTCTGGTTCTAACGTCGACCACCTATGTCCTGGCTGTGCTGGGTAGACCACCAGTACCTCCTAAAAGTGCTCCGCGTTAATGACCAGCCAAAAGTGGAAATTGTGCCGTTTCCACTTGGCTGGATCGGGCCTACTGGCCCAGGTCCGTTCATCCTAAAAGCCAAGCCCGTTAACGCGGAGGACTTTTAGGAGGTACTACCCGACGTTGGAAAGTGGAATACTGGACCTTCTCTAAAGACAATTATGTTATCAGTACCACCTTTCACGTTCTCTGTGTGTGT